TGTAAGAATGTAATGTTCTGTGTCTTATTCAACAAGAGTATGGGGAATAATTACAGATTGATATAGTTTCCTATATTGCTTTGATATAGTTTCCTATATTGCTTGTGTTATCAATGTCTACTCCTTTGTGGAGTGTTTTGTGTTATCAAAATCTTTTTTTGAAGGAATGAAGATATTAGAGTTATCAAAACCAATATATCCTCCTATGTGGAGTGATTTGGTTATTCAAGCGTTGCCGGTTTTGCAAGGATCTTCCTCCCGGTTGATGGTCTTCTCTGCCTTTGATGCAGTGTGTGTAACCCTTCGGGTTGTAGTGGATGCGGTTATTCAAAAGGCTCACGAGATCGTTCCAGGTGTATGACTTCTTATGGTTTTTTTATGACTTGTATCGTCAATCTATCTCTCGTTTAACCATCGTTTGGTGGTCTATTTGGCACTTCTTGCCTTGCTTTTGTGTATTTTCCATTATTTTGGATGTAACTTCTACTCTTGTAATAGAATTTGAAACTCAGGTTTGACCAAAAAAAAAACTTAGAAAAATTAATAAATCATTATAGTTGTTTTAATCGATAATGATTATTAACAATAGTTTTAATTGGTCAACAGTTGGTCGAAACATTTTGACCATATGTCGATCATTCTAAACGACAGAGAAACAACTACATATATGATCGATATTTTGTCGATAATGTTTTGATCAATTTATGTCAAGTATTGTTCGTAAGAAAATACTGAATAATTTTATACCAAAATTTTTTGTAGTCGATATTTAGTCAAATATTTTGACTATTTATCGACCACTTATACTAGTATAAAAAAAAATCTGATCATATTTTGACCCACTCAAATTTTCATAATATTTTGGTCAAAAATTTGTCAATAAACAGTTTGACTAGTTTACTGGTAAAAAATTTGGTCAGAAATCAATATGTTTTCTTGACCAATTTTCAACCAATTTGTTTTGCCACAAGTTTTCGTCCATTTTTGTCAGAAATGTTTGACCAAATTTTGACTCTTAAATTTTGTCATACTATTTTGATGAATTTATAACGAAAGTAAATATACGTCTAAAATTGGTTGAAAAATGGCAAAAAAAAATTGTTTCTAACCACAAAAGTTTGGTCAAATTTTGACATGTTTTTTTGTAGTATTTTGGTGGATTCCAAAATTCCTTTCTGGTGGATTTTAGAGTTTCATCCTTTAAGTTCATCGCTTGTGAACTTGATTTTGATCTAAGTTTAGCGCTTGCTATTCTTAGGGTTTTCCGACTGCATCATCATAAGACAATGCAATATTTTAAATTCGAACCGAAATGACAATTTTAATTCTTAGTTTTTGGTTTTTATTAAATGAGATTTTTTTAACATTGAATAAAAAAGAATCATTTGAAATCACGTGCATTTATGTGGCCAAGCTCTTCGACTAACATGAGCAATCCAAAAGTAGCGGGATGAGTATGCACACCAAAGAAAGAAAGTGGTTTGGGTGTAAGGAAAATGCATGATTCCTGTAAACTATTTGATGGTTATTCACAATATTGGGTTCCTTGAGGATAGCTTGGACACATCATTATCTAGAAGATTATGCGGAACTAGTCCTTATGGGACGTGCAGGACACACACAACGACTCATGGATTTGACAAAAGTTGTTAATCTCACAACCATTTTCACCAAATCAAAAGTGAAGAATGGTCCATCCACTCATTTTGGTTTGATAATTGGTTGGCTAGGGGTCATCTTATTGATGATGTGGGAGATTTTGGGGTACACGTGTTTTGGGTATCCATACGACACTGTTTTATAGGCTGCAAATGCAATGGTTGGTTGATTAGAAGATGTACTGGAACACGACTCCATGAGCTAGTGTCTCTGATCCAAACCTCACCCATTCTAAATCTTGAGGTTGATCCGTATACTCTGCTATGGCGGCATTGTTTAGATAGTTACTGATGTAGGAACGTTGGTACGCTCACAAGGATGGAGACAGATGGTGAATCTATAGCAGGCCGTACGACACTCTCTATGGACTCAAGTGGATGGTTGATGAAAGAATGTAACAAAGGGAATCAAGAGACGCCACACAGAGGATGATAAGTTCTGTTATAAGTCTTAACACTCAGCTTCAAGTGAATCTCACACAGGAAGAAGAGAGGTTTGCACACTTGCTTCAGTCGTTTCTCACGCAAAGAAAAAAGGGGGCGGCTGGGATTTCTTTAACAAGAAAAGTAGGTATTTTATTAATCAAAAACGTGAAATACTACAAAGCTGCAGGGGA